GGGGGTTTGGAGATTCCCAGCCGCCCATGGCAGCCCGGAGGAGCTCTGCCCCTGGCTTCCCCGATTCAGCTGCTGGTCAGTTTTAGCAGCGGCTGAATCGGGGAAGCTGGGCGCAGAGCAGCTCCAATTGTCCGGCTGCCCGGAGCACTTTTGGGTTCCTGATGGTGCCGGATCATCAGGAGTACCGGAGCACTGGATGCTGGACCAATGGAGTTTTACTGTATGTAACCAGTCTCCTTTGCTGCCGATTAAGCCTTTTACATCTTGTCTTACTGGTCAGTTTTAGCAGCGGCTGAATCGGGGAAGCTGGGCGCAGAGCAGCTCCAATTGTCCGGCTGCCCGGAGCACTTTTGGGTTCCTGATGGTGCCGGATCATCAGGAGTACCGGAGCACTGGATGCTGGACCAATGGAGTTTTACTGTATGTAACCAGTCTCCTTTGCTGCCGATTAAGCCTTTTACATCTTGTCTTACCCTAGGTGGACATGGAGACCAACTGATTGCTTTTCTCTCTGTAGCAAACCTTAACATATTTAAACACTTATCAGGCCCCATTCAATCTTCTCCTCTCAAAACTAAATATGCCCAGGTTCTTAAACCATTTTTTACAGGGTGAGCTTTCTAAATTTTTAAATAATTTTTGTTGCTCTCCTCTGGATTCTCACCAATTTGTCCACATCTTTCTAAGAGGTATAACTGGACACTATATTCCAACTGAGGCCTCACCAGTTCTGAGTACAATGAAAGGATTATCTTCTTAACTTTACAAGGAATGCTCATGTCATCCATGGATTATATTTTTGGCTTTATTGCAACAACACTGCATTAACAACTCCTTCAATTTTGATCCACAGTAAACTCCAGATTCTTTCTTGCAGTTACTCCCCATTCCCTTCCTGTATATTTGATTTTTCCTTCCTAAGTGTTACACTTTGCATCTGTCTTTCCTGAATTTAATCTTGTTAATTTCAGAGCAATTCTCCAATTTGTCAAGGTCCTTTTGCATTCTAACCTTGTCCTCCAAAATACAAATTATAACTCCTCCCAGCTTGGTGAGTACCTGTAAATTGTATAAACATATTTTCCATTTCACCTACATCTGTTCAATTAAATTAAATAATGAAATTATTGAATGGTGAAAGTTTTTTTGTTTTTGTTTTTTTAAAGAAACTGAAAACTCGCTATTGTCCAAATTCTGGTTTCACTACAGTCAATAGCAAACCTCTTATCAAGTTTAGTGGATTGGGACAAAAGGAATTCAGGAGTATATAAGCAACTGGGGAATGGAGAGTTTGGATATCTGATTTTGAATGATACAGAACACAGTTATCCATTATCATGTAAATTAAGTGTTGGGGAAGGTATATAGTCTTTTTACCAACACCAAGTCAGAGCATATTATAATTCAGACTAAAATACCAAGTTGTTGGGTTTTTTTGTTATTCTGTTTTGTTCTTCAAATATATTCCAGGAGCATTCATGGAGTCCTCATGTAAGTTGCTGAATGCCAATGAAAATTCTTATTCAATTAAGTCCATAATATACGGAATGCCTGCTTGTCTTAGCCTATGAAGTAACCTTTGCTTAACATTTAATATGAGCAAATTAAGCTAATCCAAACTGCAGAAATAATGTCGTGTCAAGAGAACAGCCTAACTTTGAAGATGAGGCAGTCCTTCATCAGAGAAATAGCTAAATTAAGTATTATTAAATAGCTACCACTGAAGTTTTCAAAAAAATTACAAATACTGCATTTATTTATATTCAAGACAAACAAAAAACATCCAGAACCTTAAACCCAGGAAACTGGTTAAAACGAGAGGTAAGACAAATACCTGATATAACAGAAAGATATAATTAATATTAATTTACAGTTTAGGATTTTCTAAGATGTTAAAACAAAATTATGTATCTATAACAAAATTACAGATACAAAAATAAAATTAGAGGTCCAAAAATATATCAGTCACCTAATTCAAAAAGACCTGAGTATATGGAATTGGATTTGACTTCTGGAAGTGGCAACATTTGTAGAGGATACAAAATCTCTTAAGAGTTAAGTTCAAAGCTGATTGTGAAGAATTACAAAGGGATCTCACAAAATTGGGTAACTGGATGGAAAAAAATGCAGATGAAATTCAGTGTTGATAAGTACAAAGTAAAGCACACTGGAAAATAATCCAAACTAGACAGATAAAATAATAGGGTTTAAATTAGTTGCTATCACTCAAGAAAGAGATTTTGGAGTCATTGTGGATCGTTCTCTGAAAATATCCATACTGTGCAGTGGTAGTCAAAACAATTGCCAGAATGTTGGATACCATTAGGAAAGGGAGAGATTATAAAATATCAATGCCATTATATAAATCCATGGGATCACCCACACCTTGAATACTGCATATAGTTCTGGTCATCCCATCTCAAAAAAGATGTTGGAGACGAGGTCTACATTAGGGGGCGTATTAAGATATGCACCTCTATCTGAGTGAATAGCATATCTGGAGTCAACACAATTTAGTTTGAATTTCCATGGTGTTCCCACTGTGGGAGGTTGACAGGAGAAACTCCTTCATCAACTTCCCTTCTTCCTCATGACACAGAGTACTGGAGTCCACAGGGGAACAATTAGTGGTCATTTGAGCAGGTCCTTACTAAACCCAGTAAAATCGAACCCTGGGAGAATGATCTCCGCAGTGCTGCTCTCCTGGTAATTGGAAACAAAGCCTTAGACTTGGAAAAGGAGCCGGAACAAGTAACAAAAATGATTAGGAGATGGAACAGCCTCCATGAGGAAAAACTAAGAAGACTGGAAGTATTCGTCTTAGAAAAGAGACAACTAAGGAGGGGTATGATAGAGGGCTACAAAATCATGAATGGCACAGAGAAAGTGAACAGGGAAGTTTTATTTAGGCATTCACTCTAACACAAGAACCAGGGGACCCCCAGTGAAATAAATAGGTAGTAGATGTACATCAAACGACACACAGTCAAACCCATGGATCTTGTTGCCATGCTATGTTGTGAAGGACAAAAATATTCCTGGTTTAAAAAATTATTAGATAAGTTCATGAAGGAATAGTCTATCAATGGGTTTTAGCCAAGATGGTCAGGGATGCAATCCCATCATCTGAGTGTCCCTAAACCTCCAAATGCTAAAAAAGCATGTGGCACTGCCTGTTGTTGGATACAGACCATTGGTCTGACTCAGTTTATAAATATACATATGTAATCAAGAAGGAATAAAAAATGAGGAGATTAGTGTGAATCTTCTCCCCTTTCACATCTTTTGCACTAGTATAACTTCTGCCTTCTAATTATCCTTAATTTATAGTGATCTAAATTAAAAAAAATAAGGCCCAGAATCACTACGTAATGTAGTCCAACAGTACTACAAAGTATTTATCACTATCACACAGCACAAGCACTCACCTTGTCAAAAGCAGGATATACAGCTCTAATTTCTGTCAACCAGCCGTACGGCATGTGTCCCACAGGGTATGTTGCTGTCAGAATTGCCACAGCCTACAACAGGAGAAAAGAGAACACACTTATGCTTCAAATCTTCAGACAGCATAGATAATATAACTTTTTATCCAATTTTCAGTTACTATTGACCTCAGGGTAACCAGAGACAGACAAACAAAGTGGGCAATCATTACATCAGGAAAACAATCATAACAACAGTTAATCTACGATGCGTTTCAGACTCATAGAAAATTCAAGTGGGGTGAAACTATATGACTTAACTGTGTGGTTTTGCTATCACAATAGCACTGATTATATTTTAGCTTTTTAAAAACTGTTTATTTGCTCATCAATTGTTTTTTCTCCCTTTACCACCATGTTGATTAATTATTTGATCTAGTGAGGCTTAAAGCAGTACACTGTTTTTCTATTAATTATATTCCATGATCTTCATTTTTCATGCAATTTTGTTTTAATAAGAACATAAGTAACAATTATTTAATTAAAAAAATTGCAGCAATGTTATTTGAAAGCCTGCAGACTGACTCAGTTTGGATGTCAGGTAGATTGTTTCAGACTAGACAGCTCCTAGAGATAGACAAAAATAATCCTAGATCGCTCTTTTTAACACTAGAACCAGCTCATTACCTGAAATCTAAGAAAACTAAGTCCTCTAGTACTTTTGCAAGTATCATTTAATAAATGAGACACACACAAAAAAACCCACCCAACATCTCAATAGATTTTAGAATTGCTGTGTGCTGCTGATTATGTTTCCTTTGTTTCTGAGGAAAAAGTCACATTCTATATCAATTAAACATTTTCAAACATTGAAACTGCTTTCTTTTTCCTATGGAGGCCAGTGAGATTTTCCAATACTGATCTGACCACTGTTGGCCCTGATAAGATGGGGCAATAAAAATGCCCGTCATTTCAGTAGTATCCTTCCCAACTGATGTATCTTGGTTCACATGGGAAGACAGTTTAGGGAGATTTTCTTTAGGCTCCTTCTAATGTTGCCTTGAAACAAGCAAAGTGTCCCCCTACTTTTCCTATTACTCAGAACCAAAGTACATGTCAGTCAGACTTTGACTCCCTCAGGAAACTGATAGGCAGGATTCCCTGGGATGCTTACATAAAGGGGAAAGGAGTCCAGGAGAGCTGGCAGTATTTTACAGAAGCCTTATTGAAGGTGCAGGAATAAGCCATCCTGACGTGCAGTAAGAAAAACAAATATGGTAGGCAAACAGCTTGGCTTAGCAGTAAAATCCTTGGCAAGCTTAAACACAAAAAGGGAGTTTACAAGAAGTGGAAACTTGGACAGATGACTAGGGAGGAATATAAATACATTGCTCAAGCATGCAGGGGAGTAATCAGAAAGGTGAAAGTGCAATTGGAATTGCAGCTAGCAAGGGACATGAAAAGTAACAAGAAAGGTTTCTACAGGCATGTTAGCAATAAGAGGGTGATCAGAGAGGGTGTGGGGCTCTTACTGGATGAGGGAGATCAGCTAGTGACAGATGCGGGAAAGCTGAAGTACTCAATGCTTTTTTTGCTTCTGTCTTCACAGACAAAGAGAGCTTCCAGACTACTGCACAGGGCAACACAGTATGGGAAGGAGGTGGGCAAGCTTTGGTGGAGAAAGTTTAAGAACCATTTAGAAAAATTAGACATACATGGACCAGATTTAATGCATCCATGGATGCTGAGGGATTTGGCATATGTCACTGCAGAGCCATTGGCCATTATCTTTGAAAACTCATGGAGATTGGGGGAGGTCCCAGATTAGGCATGTTAAATATCAGTTAACTGAATAGTTGATTAATCAACGGTGTCTTGTTTGCTTTTAGCATCTCTTGGGGAAAACAAGCACTTAGCTGAACAGGAATGCATTTAAGAATATTTCCTTGTTTCTGTGGATGAGAGGAAAATATAGCCAGAGATGCTATATATGGATGCCTGCTTCCTTAGCAAACATAAGCAAGGGTGGTTTCTTTTCAGCACAACCATAAAACATTTCAGTGCAAAATGGCACCCATCTTCCCAGGGATTCACATACCTCTGTGGCCGCAGAGCTGCCACCCAGGTCCCGTGAGACAAAAAGGTTGACAATGGGTCTACTGATTCGCTGAGTTGCCAAAATTAATGCCAAAGGCCACCAAAAACTCAGCATCTTCCTTACTGTAGCATCTCCCTGCAGTGTAAGAGAAACAAAGTCTCTTTTAAAACAAACAGGCTGGAGAGAACCAGAAGCACAACCAAAAGATTTTTCTTGCTTTTCCACACATCAGTCAACTCATCAAATTCAAAAGCATTCCAGAGCCCGAGTCTAGAAAAGGAATGCCACATAAAAATGCAATCTCCCACATTAGTGATACAGAATTAACGTCAGCCAGGCATTCTTAACAGCATTACTAGATCTGAATAAATTATGTACAATGCATTTGCATAATTAGTCCTGGCAATCAGTTAGGGGTTTGTGAATTACTGCAAGTCAAAGAAAAAGAAGTGTTCAGACAGCTACCTCACTCAGGGGGAATTTCTCAGGGTGCTAGTTTCCAATGTCATCTTGCTAGCACCTTTGCTGTGCTCATGATCCTATATACGAATCCAACATTACTGGGAATGTGTTTAGCATTGCTATAGAGGAACGGATATAAGGGTACACAGTACCACTCTCACACAGAAGACTGACAGCTGCCATGTACATTGCTATTGAATTGGTATAAGGGTGTATATTTGAAACATATTATTATGTGCTTTTTTTAATCTGAGGGCTAGAGAGATGATGATCCTCAAATGCTAGGTAACATGATTGCACAGTAAGTCCTACCAGACATTCATACATACCCCCATCTCCGGCCCACTGGTGTCAGGGATAATGTCGTGTATGTTCCTGTAGTAGCCCAGGCATAAGGTGGTACATCGGACCAGTGCCCCCATGTACAAGGACAAAATTGGGATAAGGAGAGGCTCTCTGCATTCCAAGTGACTGTGAAGTAGAATAGCTACAAAAACAACCTAAAAGAGAAAAAAGGGGGGGGGGGGGACACAAGAAGACAGGTTAGGGGTTTTCTATTTTAAATAAGGGGACCAGTATTCCTTGTTGTACCCAAAATCATGTTTGACACTGCTACACTGATGTAGTGCCTACAGGCCCTAGCCAGAGATCAGCTCCCTGCTGCGCTAGGCACTATACAAACACGTGGAATAAAGCTAGTAGTCCATGTCCGAGAAAATTCACATTGAAGATCTGACTCGAGGCCATAAGTGGGCAAATCAATGGCAATGGGGTTAGATGCAGGATAGGTAACCATAAAGATAGCTGTGGTTGCCTGTATTTAGTCTTGGTGTTGATAATTTCTAGGTAGCCAGCAATCTAACCACGTGGTATTGATCCATTTCTATAGAGGGTATGTTTACAATATCAATTTTAAGTGCCTCTTTTTTTTAAAAGTTATATTAAAAAGAACACTGACTTCTTGGACACTTTAAACAAGACAAATATGATTTTTCAGTATTTAAAATTCAGTGTTTAAAAGGGATTCTCATTTCAACCAACTTTGTACTGGTTTCAAGCAAGATAGCTGAGTTTTCTCTTAAACTACCAGAACTGCCTTGCCACAATTCTAACCTGGTAAACTTTAACACCAAATTCCAGGAACACATCAGGCTTCTGTGAGAATCAACCCCATTACACTTCCTGGATGTTAGCATTTTAAAATTATAACCTTAACTTATCGAGGCTGAGCATCCAAGTTAAACTTCACAAGTCTTCAATGGGGAAAACTGGGAAACCTGTTGATGCGGTGAATGAAAGAACTGACAATGACTCTACTGGCAGGGGCTGGGACTGCAGTGAGTTCTGAATGGTGCTCGGCTTGCTTACTAAATACTTTGTTCTGAAGTATTAAATACATCTCTCTCTCATTTGTTTTATACTGTGTGCAGAAGACAATGTTACACTTAATGTGTAATCCTGTTTATATGAGGATTGCAAAACAGATGATTTAGGATGCTAAGGAAATTTTTTCAATGAAGTTGCTTATCCAAAAATGCACAAGAGAAAAAAGAATTAGAGGACTCAGGACAAAAGACATTAACCATATCTTCATGACTGCAGGAAACAAAGTTCTTATTAAGCAGGTGATATTACTGCTTATGTTGATATTACTGATTTACTTGGGGTTGGTCCTGCTTTGGGCACGGGGTTGGACTTGATGACTTCCTAAGGTCTCTTCCAACTCTGTGATTCTATGTTCACTTTGCTAGTGTCTACTGATACAGGGAAGTTCGAGTAATCAGAGGTTTTTGCCTTTCTTGAGATGCTCTTGTCCTGTCAGTATTCTGCTATGGCAGGAAGATAAGATATGGTGGCTCTCATTTTTAATACAGGTTGTACCTCCCTTAACTGGGACTCTCTGGTCCATCAACATCCATGGTCCAGCAGGACCACAGGTGTTCCTGGACCACAGAGCCCAGGTACAGATAGGTCTGGCTGTGGGGCAAAAGTGTGGCAGGGGTGCTGGCGATTCAGCCAGGAGCCCCTTGTCAGCGAGGGGAGAGGGTGCAGCAGGGAGTTCTGGCTCCAGAGGCTGAGCAGCAGTGTGGGGGGGAGGCAGGGGGGGAGTGGAGGGCAGCCCCAGCCAGGAAGCTCTGGCCCTGGCCACGGCCAGGGAGGCATGGCCGGGGGGGGGGCAGGGGGGGGGGGGCG